TTTTGTAATCTTTATTTTTAATGAATTACAATTACACCACATAATTTTGAAATTTTGATTCTTAATATTTAAAATTATTTAAAAATAAAAAATATTAAGTATATGTTGCCATCTCTAGGAATGTTAAAATATGATTTTATTTCTAGTAAACAAAATTTGAAAAATTATGAAATTTCAATACACCTATTACTTTAAAATTAATCCAACTTTAATTAATCTTAAGTCTTTAATAATTGAAACATTTTTTCTCAAAAGAGTATTAAAATATTTGGATCAAAATAAGAAAAAGGACTACAATATGTATGTTATCTTTGTAGCAATCTAATCATATAAATAATTTTGAAGTATTAATTTATGTTGTTGGTGTAAATATCGCATGTTGATAGATTTGTGATACGCAAAAAAAAGAAATAGAGAACGCGGCTGGAAAAGAAACACGCCAAAGGGTATTGTGAGTGCTCTTTGATGTCGCCTATCAGGGTAAAGGCAGGTCGCGTTCCTTTCTTCCTTCTCGATCTCATTCTCGCGAGATAGGGTATACCTATCTCTTTCTCTCCTCTCTCTCTCTCCTATCTTTGCATTCTATTTACCTTTCCGCAGCCTGACGAGGCAGGAGCAGCATTCCCCATTACCGATAAGATACTGATCGCGATATATGTACACCCACCGGCACTAATCCACGCGGTGATCTGATAATTGAGCGAATGCGCTGGGCGCCGGAAATACGTAACAGCCGTTACTGTCACAGTAACGTCGATGCGGGATTACGAGTTGTTGGCCGTCCTTGCTCGTAACCAGGGTCAATTTGCGGTACCAACAAATCACGCCAGAATCACCGGAAGTGTCCGGAGCGTGATTTTACAGAGCCATGGCGAAAACAATGCACTCTTTCTGCGAAAAGTCAAACGCGATATATGTAGGTATATTTTAACGATTGTCGTTTTTTTTTAAATAATTTAAAAGGAGTCTAAGCCGGCTCTTACACTCTAAAAAAAGTTTTAAAAAAATAATGAATTGCAATAAATTTTTATATCGAATTGTAAATTCTAAAACAGATCGAACGCAAAACATTCTGAAGTAGGTATAGTAATAAAGCAATCAAATCATTTACCGTGCTTTGAAATCTACGAATGATAATTATTTTAATTTTTTACAACTAATTAAAATTGTGTCTGCAGCTTATTTTAGTCAAAGCCGTATATGTAAAAAAAAACTAATATGAAAATAATTGAATATAGAAACTGAGGTACCAATTTATAGTTTGCTGTTATGAGGGAGAAGTGTCGCTCGCGTTTTGCAATTAGTTACGTCGCATAATGAAAATTCAGCACCATTAATGAAAATTAGTAATTATTTATTGTTTCTATTTCGAAGCGGAACATGTTTTAATTACTAGCGCGTTCACGCAAAAACCCATCGCCAGTTTCGCGCTTTACACTTATTGCAGCGACACCGGCTAACTTTCCGACTAACTTCCCGAATGATATCGAAACAGTTTATCGAGTGGCGGCAATTTAATTGTTCGTTTGCTCTTCCGTCGTCGTTAATACAGCATTATCACGTTCGCGATATTTTAATGTGTCACTTTAATTACATGCATCTCGATTTCATTGGTGGGACAGCCGACGAACGCACAATTGTATATACATATATATACGTATATCTATGTGCTTCGGCCGTAGCTATCATTCCCCTTCCGGAACTTCGCGATAAATCTCGATTAATCCAATCGAGGAGCCATCGCGCGGATGCTGGCGCGTGACCAATCCCGAAGAAGCGATTGCCAATCGCCGTTCGATTCGCTAGGATAGACCTTCCCGTTTAGTTAACGTAGTCGCTTCTTTGATTAGTTAACCCATTCCCGTCTTTGTTCGCAAAAGGGGATAGACAAGGCGACCGGGATGTGCAGTTCCCTGGAGGGCTTCCTGCCGTAGACACTCCCCTTCCTCTCCTCCTCTTCCCCACTCCTTTTGCTCCCTCTTACTCTTTACAGGATCTCCTATACACTCCATAGACCGAGATGAGAGGCGGCCGCTCGGTCGGAAAATCGCTTTAAACCGCGCCGACTAATATTAACTTTCTCCTATCGTTTCGCGAAATTCCCGAACTCTTTTTTTTTCTCCCTCCTCCGTCCCCCACCCCATCGCGCATCCCGGGCGTCGGGATCGCAAAAGCTTCCGCTCCCCCACGGGGCCGCACGCCGGACGGCGCTCCGAAATTTCCTTATTTGCCGTTCCTAAACGGCCGGGCTTTGTGTAAACTTCGTTTTATCCCGCAAACGGCGAATGTTTTCCTCCTTCCATCTTTCCACCTGCGCGATCGATACGTCTGGAATTTCGTAACGAGCAGATAGATCGGACGATACGGGTCACGACATAGCCCGGAGGTAGTCACGACACACCAAGGTCGCATGTAATTAACCAGCCAGCACATACCACCGTTGTGATCGATTAGAACTTTCGATGCCGCGAGACGTGCCGCGAGTGATGACTATTAAAGTTCGGTGATTTATAGCATCGCGAGAGAGAGAGAGAGAGAGAGAGAGAGAGAGAGAGAGAGAGAGAGAGAGAGAGAGATGGGGGAAAGACGGAGAAGAGAGAAAAGAGCTGGCGAAACGGTGCATCGGGTCACCGTTTCAACCGGCCAACTTTATGCAAAACAATTTTAGGGCGGCAACAAACTGTCGCGTCCGCAGTAAAACGGTAATGCCTTTCGCTCATACGACCAGTCACATTCTACAACGAGCGTAATTCACGCGAGGCAGCTAACCGCCCGCTAAAGCGCCGCGATATGCAGCCCCGCACGTGCGAGCATATGTGAAAAAGCAAAAGTATAACGTACGTTCCGCGTGCGCGCTTTTATCGTAACGTTGTTTGCATTTGGACGTATCACTTTGAACTAAAATTCTTTAATTAGTAATCCGACTTACAGAGTGCATATTATTAGCATATACATTTTAGGTAATAACGGACAAAATACAGAATTGCAAAGTCTTTCAATAAATGTATATAATAAACAGTCTCAATCAGTTACCAATTTAGCTTGCTAATTGAATTAATAAATAAGTGAAGTTCCATTTTTTTAAATTTTATAAATTCCTATATGCCGCTTAAGTTTAGCGCATCAACAAATAACGAGCTTTCCTTTCGTATTCCATTTAACGAATGGATTCCAAATCATTAGCATTGCACAAGCTTATACCCGGCTTATGTTATTGTAAGCTCGCATTTGCGTCGATTCGCTCTGAAAAATACGTAAAATATTTAGATCTCCTGCTAAATCGCTCAGAAGATTGTGCGCGGCTGCGCACGAAACCGTTGGAATAATCAGAGAGAGATTGTAAAATAAAAAGTCGAGAGTAATGTTTTATATGCTTCCGCGGGGAGTGAAAACGCGCCGAATGCAAAATATTGACCCGTGTATCAGACTTTAATCAACCGCTTGGAGTGAAAATATTGGCTGAGCGCGATCCGCGCGCGAAGCATAAAATTAGAAGAAACTTGTGCGGTGTATGTGTGTGTGTGTGTGTGTGTGTGTGTGTATGTGTCTGTGTGTGCGAGGTGCGAGCCTGTGTGTCCGGCCGTCAGATGAATCGACGGACGGGAATTCGCGATCGAGGCACACAGGAGGGAGGGAGCGGCGGATACATCCCAAGAGTAGGACCTCAAACACGCATAATCCGGGCGAAATTACTGCGTGCCGGCGAAAAGCTCCGCGCGTGTAAGTTTCGAAAGCGGGTGAGCCTGTGCACGGTCAAATATGTACTCTGGGGTAACCAAACACACCAGTAGTCTTTTACGTGAGCAACGCGCGCGCTCGCAGCTGTATGTGCTAAAATACCCATGGCAACATTACGTCGCGTACGGCCCGCGCCTGGCAAAATGCAGCATTAATCCGGCTGTTTCGGCTGGGGCGCTCGCTGCGAAAAAATTTCGTCGGGAAACGTAGGTTAAATATAAGTACGCGCGCAAAATATATCCTACGTACGTTCCGAAAGTCTTTGCATTCCATTTTTTTTTCTACGCTATTCAATTCGGATTAGATTCAACTACATGAAATAGTCACGTATAAACTAAAAATAGTTTCTTTTCGACGTTACTTTAACAGAAATTGTGTTTGACATTTGTATACGTTGAAAGTATCGAAAATGGAAAGTTGAAAACTTGCCGACGATGATGGATTTCCATGAAATTTTTGCTAACGGCAAATCGACTTCAAATTTGTCAGCCTGGAGCTGAAACGATATTCAATAACGATGGGGCATGGGCCTGTATATAAAATAAATCATATTCATAGGGAACATGCTACAAAATATTCGGCTCAATATTTTTCCATTCCCGATATGATAACTTCTAACTCACTTTGCGGCCATTCACGGTCATATATATGTCGCCGCAATAAAATCATCCTCTGCTTCACTTTGCACAGATAAAGTGCTTAATATTTTAATCGCTCGTTTAACGAGTGCGATGCCCGTGAGAATATTTCGCGCTTTGCAACGTGTCCAATCAAAATAGTCGATTGGGTTCTGGATCGCGAAATAGTCGACTGAATAAATCCGCCCGCGAAATCGTTTTATTCGACGATTTTATGAATAAATATTATTGCGCAAACATATGTAATCCTTGAGTATTAGAAAATGAGAGCTTGTAAGTGCAATTTTTATTTAGCAAAATTGCTGAAAGCTTCTCTTGTCACAGTTATTTCGTAATAATTTGTGTATGACTCTCTTTATTCTTTATTATTTTTCGGGTTAACGAACGAAAACTATTGCCTTGAATTATTAATGACAATATTATTTAAAAAGGAAACGTTTTCTCTCGAATTAAGTATTTAAGTTTTGTTATCATTCACGCGATAAATCACATGACTGTGAACTGATAAAGTGCACACAGAAGTCTTTGACCTGTTAACGTTTTAATAACGGCATGTTGTTTTTCTCCAGGCACGCATGTTTAATATCCCGCATACACAGCATAAACTTTCTTTTCATGTTACAGCATAATGAACAACAACAGTGTGGAGCAGCCGGATCCGGACAACATAAAGATGTTCGTGGGGCAGGTACCTCACGATATGGATGAGAATGACCTGAGGACGATGTTTGAGGAGTACGGTCGAGTGCATCAAATAAATATCCTGCGGGACAAGATCACCGGCAGTCATAGGGGTGAGTGATTGAGCTTCTTCAGATTTTCAATTGCATGCTTCAAGTCGTCTAGTTGTAACAAACTTTTGCATTTAACGGAAGGCGGCAAAAAGTGCAGTTTTGAATTTTTTGTGATATAAAATTATTTTTACATAAATCTTACACTAAAAGAGACAGGTTTATACAGACAGATTTATTTCTACTTCTTTACTGTTCTAGCCAACATTTATTAGTCTTTAATCGAGACAGAATGAATAAAATGTAAAGTCATATTTTTACAACTTTATTTCTTAAAAAATTATAATTATAATACATCTCTATATTCTTTATTATAATTTAACGAATTTATTTAAGATTATTATTATTTTTTAAATCTTTTCTACAAGTATGAAAAAATACTTTATTATATTTTTCGCATATTTATTTCAATGACATGTTAAAATGAATACGCGAATGATTATGGAAAGAGAGCAAAAGTCAGGGAAAATGGACGCATTTACGGCGACAGAAAGAACGATAAAACGTTGAGATATGATCATAAATCAAGATTAATTCCGGATACGGTTCTGCCCGTGCGATAACACGCGAGAATTGTTCGGGAATTGAATATATTTCTTTATGGAGGGTATAAATGGATTTCGTGTCTTATTGTTTTCGTACTTCTCGCAGCTAACTGCGACGTGATATGATAATTACGACAAATAATCGGACGTATATATCATGAAGAAGATCTACAAACATATGTATGAGAGACGGGTACATAATACTATTCGATTATCGAATAATTGGAATTCCGATTTATCTAATTTTTGAAACTGTTCTTGAAGTTGAATTATGCCAATAAATTCACTAAATAGGTTAACTCGTCGAAAATCATATTTTCCATTAAACCGATCCCTCAACGTTTTAATCAAATTTTAGTATAATTGATGTTGTTGCGCTTTACTATTATTGATGTAGCCTTATAATGGAGCGTGTCGAAATTAGATATTAATATCGGATAATTTGACTTTTTTTCCCAATTCCAACCTAAACGGATTGCTACAATTAATCTACATGATTGTAATTGGTATTTATTTTTCTTAAGTGTTACTACAAATTTTCTAAATTAAAAATGTAGCTTAAGAATAGAGAAGTAAGTAGGTAAGAGTCGATAGGTAAGAGTATATTAAATAGAAATATTGACAAGATAATGACTGCAGACATTTCAAAATGTGAAGCTAATAATTTTTTCAAGATTTGTAACATGACTAAAAAGAGATATTGAAGGAAGTATCTTTAAACAAAATTTTCTTATAGGATTAATAAGGCTATAATATTTGAAAGAAAATTACTTTAGACTAATTTCAACATTACATCAAATAAAAGAAAGTGAGGAAAGAGAAATGCGCATACAACGATTGATATAGTTAGGAATGGTCGCTGCTATACCTTCCTCGGTATATCGATCGGAGGACGAGAGAGCAACCCCGCGGGACTCTCTTATGTCTCCCCACGTCCGAATACAGGCGCGCTTGTAACGCGGCTGTCACTGAAATATGCATGTGCTCTCTAATAACGAGCCTTAACGCTCGCTAAACGTCGTCCGCACTGGTGAAAGTTTGCGCAATTACTTTCACTGTACAGATGACTTCAAATTTGCGGCCGATGTGAAAGTCAGGCATTGTGTGGTAACCCGATTGCCCAGTACGTGTATGTTAGGAATATCGATTTCTGTCTGCGGAGACGGCCAAAGTTCGCTATGGATATGCCAAGCATAATTACGATCGAATCGCCGTAGAGCTTATCTATATGTAATGACACACAGAACGGAAAGTGTCCCATTGTATCATTATCGTAGCAATATATCAATCTAGAACATTACATTGGATTTATGATAAACACTTTGTGCTGGAAATTAAAGAAACTACAAATGTAATAAATTAAATCATATTAGTTTTATATGATAAGTACATTAAATTTCACTATAATCACAGAGACCACGGATAGTTATTTTTTTTAATTAAAAGATTATTTTAATTATAATATTATATTTTATTATAACTCAACAACTGCTTTCTTGCAATTTTAAATAATGTATATATAACGTGAGAGAGAAAGAAGCAAGTTTCAAATTTCTATTTTTCAATAAAGTTATTCTTTTAAGCCGTAAAATTATTTCTGATCTTAAATATAAAAATTACTTTAAAAAAATTCAGTATATCAAATATTGAAACTAATCGAATGTGTCGTATTTCGCAATTCTTGATAATTTAAATAAATTTTCTTGACGAAGCAGACTTTAGAAATCTTTTGCAGATAAGTAGATCTATATGTAAAATGTACGCGATGCACTATCCGAGTCGGAAGGCGCGAAATGTTAGGATTCTGAGAACTTCCGGAATAATTAATGTGGGCGAATTGTAAACGTCATGCGCACCTGCAAAATTGATGGCGGCAGGCAGTACAACTGGGATGAAATTCGTTCCCCATTGTGAAAATTTAACTTGATTACCATGACGTAATGGTGAATTAATGTCCCGCTCGCGGGCCGTTTGTTTAATGCACCGCATTTTAGATTTGAAATCTCTGTCAACGTGGAGTTTCAATTTTACAATAAAACGAACTAATTACCGTTTCTCAATTAACTTTTAGTTGACAATCGTCATATTAAGCAATCTCCTCGTCACCTTCCTCGCTAAATTACAGCCAATTTTATACATACATATATATTTATAATGTCTTAAAATGAGTCGATTATCATCTATCAATTTTTCAATCTTAAATTAAATGGCGTTATGTATAGAATTGTATATCTATTAAGCGATAAATACATATCGCTCCATTGATAGAAAAGTGACAACATCTTAAAATTAGCAATTTTTAGTAGAGCATTTTCAAAATTCTGGAACAATGTTTTGAATTTTGGAACGATGTTTTAATTGTAAACTTCACTTTCTTTCCATGTTACACTTTCAATTACAATGTAGGTATTTTTAAAAATGTTGTCATGTGTTTTCAAAATTCGAACATTACAATCTTAACATAGTAAATTTTATCCTTCATCAGAGTTCTAATATTTTTCTGTATAAGCAAATATTTGGGAGAACTATAAATGTGTCGTGTCGTTTTTTTCCATAAAATTACATTAGCTTTTAGAGTCGATTTACTTTGATTATTGAAAAAATGCCAATTTTTTTACTTGTATCACTTTTCTATCAATGAAGCAATATACTCACTCACACAATTGGTATAAATTATACTACTTAAGTAAAATGTATACCGGAATAATTCACTCGACACATGGGGTGAGTTTGCTCGTCTGTCGCTGACCAAACAGCGAGTCAGAAGGTAAATTCCACAGTGCATCGAGGCATTTTATCTTGACGGTGGAAATAAAACGCTAAAATTTCCAGAAATTCTATATTAATTAAGCCGCGGAGCCGAGCTTGGCGTAAGCTCTACTAAAAATTAACAAGGAGTACCTGTGGAATATATTTGATTTACGCCAGGATAAATTTAAAGTTTAAATTATTCACAGAAATACTCGTAATGTCACGTAATGAAAAAAATTGCTTCGGCCGTTCCATCAGTAATTATAATACTTTAATCTTCCTTTATTTAATTTTTGACGCTTTCTATAAAACTTGCTTTAATATAACTCTATTATTTCTATAAAATATTTTTAATTAAAGTTAAATATAGTTAAGCATAAAATACAATGTAGCGTAACTTCTTCAAAGGCACTTCATTTGTTATTTTTTATTAATAAAACTAAACGTATGTGAATACGATGATACGTAAATATATTCTATTAGTTAACACTCAAGAATTAGATATAGTTTACAATAAGACATGTAGATATTATACACAATATAAGCAATATAAATATTTTAAGCAAAACTATGCATTAAAAATATCAGTGAAAGTTCTTTTGAAGTTTTTTTTCGCTTTTACTTACTTCGCGATTACTTTATCCAACAATCTATCGAGCGGAAAAAAATGTTTGACAATAATAGATTTTTCATACATCTAACTTTTCTGTTTTCAAAAAATTCAGTTTTAAATAAATTATATAAAAGAATTTATAAAATAGTTTTATTTTTAAAATTATATTTTATATATTCCTAATTTACAGTCCCGTGATATTGATCATTAAGAGTCTTCTATTGCAATATGCATATTAAGGTGAGCTAATCTCATCACAAAGTAACTTCGCCGGACATTAACATAATTAATTCAGGTATTATCATATTAATTCGGGTATATCCACTCTCCGAAATACGAGATTTATGCGAAACAGATTAAACGGTGAAGTCATCTGCTTCGAAATCAATATCGCTAAAGTGAGCAATCCATGGAATGTTCAATTTGATGGGTCAATCGGAGACAGGGAACTCGCGGCGCAAACTCCTTTTATACCCGATTAAAACAAGTGCGGAACCGTGTTCGCAATGAAGACCTCCGAGATTGCCATCGTAGCCAATATATCGGAATCCCGAAAGTGTCCGACTGCGCCGCTTCTTGTCGCAAAGTAGCGGAATTCGATACTCCGCTACTTTGTGAGACACGGTATGAAAGCGACAAGGACGACAATGGGATTCTCCTGCAGGCGGCTGAAGGACGAGGGGTTGCCGTCTCTCGTCGCACAATTTTCCGCGTGGAATTTCGTTGTTCCGCCCGGCGAAAAGACGGTCGGGAAATGTTTTAGTTAAATTAACAGAGCTCTCTCTCGCGCGGCAATGTTATACGCCTGTGTCGATTGCGAATTCCTCTCTTCGACAAGCTTTCCTGTTATTCTGCGCGGATATACGGTATCGTTGCGCGCGGCGCGCGTTTGTCTCTCGTGCATCTCTTCCCTCTAAAATCTTCTCGCACACCGGAAAATACTCTGCGCGCGTGCGATCGCTCGGAGGATTTGTTTGTCCTTAAACGGAAACGCGAATCGACCTTCCGCCGCTCGTTACGCCCAGAAGTACAACGTACTATTAATCACACGGCCCTATTAATCGTCCTTAAGTCGTGCCATGTTCGCGTCACCT